GTTAATTCTCGACGGGGTGAGCAATTGGATCGGAGCATGGGAAAAGTGTTTTCTTTTTCTTATATTTTTCTTTTTTAGCGTCAAGTGTTTTGTTTGTTGTTTAGCCTTTGCATAAGAAATGTGCTGTTCAATTTTGTGGAATGTTTTTGTTTCTTAGTTGCAAAAGGTGAAGACGACGCAACGTCAAAGTGTTTACCCTGGCTTTTGTTAGCTTTACATTTTTTGGAAGGTGGCAGGCCAGACACAGACACAGACCGAAGCAGAAGCAGAAGCAGAACTCTGTTGAGCAGTTAGATAGGGGTATGCCAAAGTGAACTAAATGCTGTGCAGTCAGGCCTTAACTCGAAGCAGGTTGATTCGCAGTGTAGCTTGTAGAAGCACTTGACCCCCGCACTTTGACCTTACTCATGCGCTTGATTGATTGCACAAACGAAATGAAATACAAAAAGCAAACCGTAGACAACCTAAAGCAGGACCAGGGCACTCGTCTTGGTCCCGGCCAGGTATGCTGCAAATTTACTTGCCAGCAATTCCCAATCAAATATCAACTTAACTTCAACTTGAGTTGCCGACAAGTCTGCAGCTTTGGCCAGTTTTGTAATTGTAACAAATGAACCAAGTGCCCGAGCATTTTTCATATGATACGGACAGTGTATACAGCCCGAGCCCCGCCGCCGCAGTCGTCCTGCAGCTTGTGGCTGGTTTATAAAGCCGCCATTGAGTATTCAAGTTGTCTGACTGGTGATTCGATTTGCTTGGCCTGCTCTTCAATTGGCCCCAATCGATATGGGCATTATACAGTATACGATGTATGATTTTCCAATTTAATTGCAATTTACTTACGTTTCGGTTCTCGCTGGGGCTTTGAATCTCTCTCATTTGGCATTTGCATAAATCCATAAAATTGCAAACAACATTTTGATGGCGAATGGCAAATAATTTTGCATATGATTTATAAATTGAACAATTTTTAATACGGCATAAATTACATTATTTATTATTGCGTTTTGTCTATTTGTTGTATTTCAATAAATTATGTATTTATTTACCAGCAGCACACAAACAAAAGCCTGTTGTTGTTGTTGTTTTTTTTTTAATATTTTTTTATATTGTTGTTTTATCATTGTGTATTAATTATTAATTATAATTAATTGCAATCATAATATTCTCAAATTTTTTTCTATTAATATGCGTTTGCCAAACATAAATTATTTTTGTGTGTTTGGTTTTCATTGCGTGTAAAGAATTATTTATTTAGTATTTCGTTTTTATTTAGTCATGTTGTTTAATTCATCATTAAACAAAACTATGTTTGTTTAGGTACATTTTATTTTCAGAGCTAATTGGCGAAATTTATATGAAAACTGAGAATTATTTATGTACTCGCCTAAATGTATAATTGGTATTCTATTTCTATTTACTTGTGATAGTTTATAATAATTGTTTAGTTTTCGTTTTTAATAACATTTTCGTATTCATTTATTCTTTATGTTTTCAAGTGTCAATTTTGGGAATTGAATAATTAACAATTGTTTTAAGTGTTATATATATAACACTATATATAATATATATATATATGCCTCTTTAGGATTCTTAAAGCGCAGGCTAAAAGGCGTCTTGTTTTTATTCATATTTATTTGTGTTATTTTTTGTATTTTAATTATAAATATTCAAAAATTTTTACCTATTATGAGCTTGGTTAGGTAAACCCGCTGTTAAAATGATTTCTTATATTCATTTATATTAATTAATATTATTAATTATTTATTATGTGCCAAAACCCATTTATGTTATGTTTTTATGTGTATAAATTAATATTATTATTCATGTTTTCCCTTATTGTTCTCAACTTTTATATAGTTAAAGGCTTTAAGCCAGCTATTAAAAAGTTTGTATATATTTATAAATAATATTCAGATTTTTCTGTTCTTTTGATGTCTACATCTTATATTTTCCAAATCAGCTAAAATTATTTTCGCCAGCTAAAATTCAAGAACACATTTTTCTCAGCCCAAGTCGTGGATTGTGCTTCAGCTGAGAATGGGATGCTATATGCTATATGGCTCAGCCATTTGGTTGCCATTGCACGTAGCACACATTACACGCCTATGCCCCGGCCCTCTGCCCCGGCCCTCTGCCCCCTTTGTATGCCCGCGACCAAATGTGCTGCCGAGCATATAATTCGCAATTTAAATTTTCAAAATAATTTGATAGGCAGATTTTTTTGTAATTTCTTTGTTATTTTAGCCTGTTTTAAAATACTTAAAATTCAGAAGAAACATAAAGAAAGTTTTATATAAAATTTTAATAAAAACAAGTTATGGCTACGATACTCCATAGATTAAATACTCTTGTGGACATTTCGCTTAAGGCTTGGCTTAAGTCAGGATAATTGCAAGGCTCATATTTATAAAGAAAATCTTGAGAATGTGCTTGGAAAATCTTGAGAATATGCTATATATGCTATATAATATATCAATCGTCATGATAAGACTTTGCGCTTGTAAATGCCAAGCTTGGTTGAGATGTTTTGCAAAAATAAAAGTTATTTGATTCTAGAAACTTATTTGCAAGCGTTCATTTATATGGCGGCTATATCCGATCCGGCCTATTTCTGCATGCAACAGATAGACGCATCTATGCAAAGTTTTATGATGACAGCTGCAAAGCTGATCAACTAGTTCGCTGTGAAACTATATCGACTGATCAAGAATATATTTATGCTAAATAGAGTAGGAGACGTCTCCTTCTATGCTTTACACATTAAATGACAAAACGATGATACCCTGGACAAGGGTATAAGAGGTCAAAAACTGTTAAAATGACATCAAGCCAGCAGAAAGCAATGAATAAATGAAATGCAACGTTGCCCTTTATGAGTCGTCTCACGCACAGGAAGAGGGAGACACAAAGCGTGGTCTATGGGGCGAGTCGAGGGTCAACCATTTAGGCCTGGCCAACTGGCCAATCGGCCAATCGGCCAGGGTTCAGGTTACCAGCGGTAACGGGCACACGTGCACTTCTCGCTCTCGCTCTGCTCCAGCAGCTCCGGGCAGCAGTTGTCGCATCGTCGGCATTGTCCGCGTCGTCGCATGTGGTCATTAAAGGAATTTCCGTTGTGGTCATCGAACCGTGAATTAAAATGTGCACACACACACACACACAAACATGAGACCCGCTCACGGCTTGTGCTGTTGTCTCACTGGCTAAGGGCTGTTCAGACTTGGAGCTGGAGGATGCGCCACCACAAAAAATGCTCGTTTTTGTCCAACAGAAACAAAAACAAATGAGAAAGTTGTCGGTTTTGATTCCTGATGCAGGTGGAACTGGTTAATTGAGCAGCGGCAAAGCACAGCACAGGCAAACAGGTGACAGGGACATTTTTTCGGGCATATGTTAATTCCGAAATGCATTCAAATATGGGCAGACATTTAGGCTTTAAAAAATGTATTAAGTATTCACCCACATTATCGGAAATTCTTAACATTTTAGCCAACCTTTTAACCTTAAAGCAACATATCGTCAATTGTTACTATTATTAAAACTGACATTTGCTTAACAGACCTTTTTTTAATATATTTTAATTTATATACTGTATATAAAGTAGCACATTTAATATTGAAAATTATTGTCAATTAAAAACTATTTCTATTTTTTCTCAGTTTATCGCTAGATACAAGTTTGAATCTGACAATTTTCACACTTGTCGTTCGTCTTGTTCGAATTGTTGTTTTTCCAGTTTCTGCTCTTTGAGCAATAAATGTAGGCTTGGTGTACTTATATACCTTGATTTATTTAAAAATATCGCTCACATATGTGTTTCACATATGCTCATCATTGATGACAACACATGCAACATGCTCTGCTCAACATTTCAGTTCAGTTCAGTTCAGTTTTATATTCATTTGTTTTTTGTTTTCCAATGTCCAATGAGCAGAATCCAACGAAATTTGCTCTGCGTTAGATCTGTGCTATATAGAGCTGGTCGATTTTACTTTTGCGATATATATTTTGCCAGGCATGACACATTTTTTGCATGAATTATACGCCAAAAAAAAACAACGACAACAGCAACTAAAAATCGTAGCGCGCTATTTTTAAAATCGGTCGCGGCTATGATATAATTTTGCCGATTTGCTTAGCCGGCGATTTATATATATGCAAAATATATATACACATATAAATATATACATGTGTGTGCACATATGTATAAACATATAAAACACATATATAAACATTTTATTTTCGTTTGCGCACAAAATATTTTCAACATTTGCTCATTTACGAAAAAAAAGCGTTCGATTTACTTTTGGCTGTGACATAAATTTATGTTGAAATTTTCTTTAAACTTATATTTTTATGTGCGTTATTACAAGGCAAACGAAATTCATAAGGTCATCTAAGATATTTGAACAACTATATTTTTACTTGTTCTCCTGAGATCCGCTTTTCAAGGACAACGCGTGGGCTGAGCTTTAGTTTATTGCTTGATTTGTTCAGTTTTTGACTTGGTAAAAAACTATATAAATATTTTCTTTCAACATTATTAATTTGAATTATACATAATTTTGAATTTTATGTATAATTTTAAACATAATTATTACTCGTATAAATTATATCGAATTAAATATTTAAATAATAAGAGTATTTTTTGTAGTATTATTCCCAATTATTTTACGTTTATTATTATTATTATCATTTGTATTAATTTTATTGTTATTCTTCATTTTATTTAATTCTCTCGTATTAATAATTTTATTTTATGTATTTATTATTATTTATTTAATTCTTTTTTATTTACTCAATTAACTTTTAAATTCTTTAATCTTATTTTTCTTTATAAATTTAATTATTTTTTTTATCATAGTAAATTTTACTTGACTTTTTTATTATTAATATCTTAAATGATATATTGAATGATTGATATAAAAAAACAAAAAAGATATTTCGACTTTTCTCGCTACTTGAAATCTTTTTCGTTTTCAATTTCTTTTGCTTACTTTCACATGACTTTCGAGTATATCTCTGTGCATATCTCAAATTGAAATTTGTATATATTTTTCTTGTTTTGCATTTATTTGTTATTTTTGGTTCACACGCGCGCTGATTACTGCCAATTGTTGTATTGTTGCTGTTGGCCAGGCCCAAATGACAGCAACATCAGATGCAATTGAATTCGATTCGAGTTGGTTTTTCTGGTTGGTTCGTAAGGCGAGCAAATGAGACTCGCGCGCGCTTTGAGGGTAGCCGTCCACGTACTCGACGCACGACGTTCAAAATGAAACTGAAATCCACTTGATGGCTGAAAAGGCAGCCAACGAGCCAAAGAGCCAAAGCAGCGACGTTGGCAGCGACAGCGACAGCAGCAGCAGCAGCAGAGGCAGCGAAAAGCCACCCCTAAGTGGCTAACGCGCGAAATGTTGCCGGCTGCGGCGCCTTACGTCTTACAGCTGACGTCAACGTTAACGTTAACGTGAATGTTAACGTCTGCGTCTACGTCAGCGTCAGCGTCGCCGCTGGCGTCTCGCGTGTTGGTCAAGTGTTTTCGGCCCAATCGACCGACAGCCACAGAGAGCCGGGCCATGCCGGGCCACATGTTTCCCGTCTTTTGTAGACTTTTTTGCCATTTTTTCCATATTGTTGTTCTTGTTACTAACATAAATTTGACTTTGGCATCTGCGTGCGGCATTTCCTTCTGGCCGAATTTTCAATTTGCCTTTCTTGTTATTATTTCATTTTATTTTTATTTGCGCGGTTTCCATCTGCGCATAATTTGATTACTTGATCTTCTGGTTTTGTTATTGAAATATGTTTGCTTTTACGGCCCAGATTCAATTGTTGGCAATAAATATAAACATAGCCAAGCCGTCCTCTAAATAGTGTTTTTAATAGACGTCTGCCACATTAATAATTCGAGTTGTACATACAAAAACTCATTAGTCTGAATACTCAATAAAAATCACTTTCATATAGATGTTTTATCTTTACCTATCCGTGCCTCTCACTCGTTTTTACATATTAAGAGAATCATAATGACAAATATCATGTCTAATAATTTTCATTCTGTTGAAATGTTGTACATAATTGACTTTGAGTCAATCATAAAAAAAAAAAATAAATTAATTATTAATATTTCAATAAATTATTTTAAAAAATCAAAAGCTTACATGTGCAAGGTGTACATTTTCTATTATCTTTTCTTATAATCTTGTAGAGGGTATTATAATTCTGTCACGATTTGTGTAACGCATAGAGGGAAACTTCTACGATCCCATAAAGTATATACATATATATTCGGCATATCTATATATATCAGCATTAGCATACATATGTCGGAACCAACCAGATCAGATATCTATACCATAAAGCTGCCATAGAAACAATCAGAAGTAGGTTTTTATATTTGTTTATGAAGACATCTTGATCAAATTCGTCATAAACAAGTTTTACTATGCTCCCTACTTATATTCAAAATCTTATCAATATCGGACCTATGTGCCCCTGGCCATTATTGTGCTTATTTAGTCCCGCACGGATCAGCCGCAACGATATCATTCAGTGAGCATCTTGTTTGTAACCCGTAGGGCATATCCCAATTTACAATTAAACAATTCTCCAGCTCTTTATTTGTGCCACCGAACTGGAGGTGCTGTGCTGCATTAATTATCTTTCATTTGACCAAGGACTTCCTATCCACCGGCGATTGAGAAATAAATATTTATTATTTATCTATTTATTACTCAATGTCCACCGGCATATGATCATCAAAGCAGATCTGGCCATGCAGGGCTATGAGAGAATGGCATTTGCTGCCTCCCTCGTTGGTCCGCATTTCAGTGGGAGTAGTAACTAGATGGATTGTTATTTAAATACCCTACAATGTAAGGCTTAACGATTGGCATGGGACTATCCTTCCTTTTCAATACAAAGGCACAAATGAATGGATCATCCTATTGGCTAGTCGGAATATACTAAAATTTCCGGTACTTTGTGCTGGGCCTTGACTTTTAATTATTTTGCGCGACGTTCTTCGGGTATTTCTGAATTCATCCCGTACTTTCTCTTGTTGTTGCTATATACCGTTCTTTCTAAGCTTGACTCTCATTGGAATTATACTCTTTAAATATGGAATTCTTCTAAAATCTTGTACGCCCTGAAGAACCAAATCGTTTGATCCAAACCTAACGAAAGTTAAATACGTAATTCATCCCTTTCCGTTAAATCCACGCACTTGTGTGAAAAATATCAGCATGGCATAATATGTATTATATGACGGAGATGTCTTGATTGCAACATTCTGATTTTCATCTAAGAACAACAAACACTTGGCCGCGCAACGCCAGGTAACACCGGATATATGCTTAAATATGTTTTTCTTTTGGCATTTAAATAGTCCAAACATCCAAACATTTACACAACAGAATAAATGAAAAACAAAAATTGACTTGTAGAAACCCCCCGCTCCATGACCTTAGAAAGTTTACAGATGGATTCTTCTATTGGGCTGAATTTACGAACGACGAATTTCAAGTTCAACCAGAACCAAAAACATGTACACTAAATGATTCCAAGATTTGGTACATTAAAATCAGGCCGATATATTTGGGTCACAGACAAAACAAACATTAATTAGCCAAAATGGCTGGAAAACTGAGAAAATTATTCATAGATTTTAGAGTCTGGCACGCAGCTAATTGAAAATGTGGAGAGAGGGCAACCAGAAGGGAAGAGTGTGCGGGGCCGCGCCGGCTATGCGAATCTTATATGCATTGGATTTATTTTTGGCGCTTGACAAAAGGCAGCAAATGGAAGCGAAACGGAACGCTCCGATAGCCCCAAAGGACAAAGAGACAAGAGCGAGGCAAAGATAAAGAGAACGAATAAAAAATATAAAAAAAAAGCTGGCCGGCGGCCAAAACAAACGTGCGCACGTAGATAAACGTAGATACTCTACAGGCGGAAAAGTCTACAAAAATAAAAGAGAGAAAAAGAGAGTGTGCTTGCAAGCGGCTGCCACAGCCGGAGAGTGCGACGCGTCGCTGCCGGCGTCAACGAGCAGCAGCAGCAGCAACAGCAGGCGAATGAGCGTAGCAAAACAAACGACGCCAAACAACCGAGCAGCGACAGCAGCAGCAACAGCAGCAGCAGCAGCGTCTTCTTATATTACAAATGCTGGCGGCAAAACAAGCGGCGGCGTCTGACACCTGTGCGTGTGTGCACCCTCCCTCTCCCTTTGCCTATCGACTAGTTTATTAATGAGACAAGCGGCCGCTGCTGCTGCTGCTGCTGCCACGCGCCCTCGCAGCTGTACGCAGGTGTTTGAACAGGTAGCAATAACAACAACTCTGCTCTCAGGTATCGGGTCCAATACGATCCGCAGTAGTTGGGTAATTGAGTGTGCGGCTGACTGTTATATTATTAAGTGTGTGTATGTGTGTGCGTTTTGTCGTTTATATCGTTTGCTATCGCTGGCTGCTTATTGTTTTTCTTTTACTCTCCTTTTTGTGCTCTCGCGTTAATCCCCAACGCTCTAGTTTGGCAACTGTCCATGCAAAGCAGATGCTGACTTTTTTTAGTTTATGGTACGAGGACTCAGCATTCAATATGATTCCAATGGAGCAGCTGTTTTCATTTTTATACCCTAACAGAGGGTATTTAAATTTTGAGTATTAACGAGTTTTACTTTGATCCTTTTATAAGAGCAATAACTGCATCCACAATCAGAATATATTTTGTATTGACGCAGTGACTTAGTGTATTTGCCAAAAGAGTGAACATTGTGGATGTTGTGGACTGTGGAAGCTAAATTATTCATTGATGCTTTTCTGCTGAGAACAGCTGGCTGCAGCTGCACCAAAAAGCGAGAGCACGAACTTTTTGGAGTGTAATTGATATGTATTGCGCTTACGCCATTGGTCGGAACGCTTTTGATCCCGTTACTTGGTTGTGTATTCAAAGCGCGGATGGTGTGAGCGCAGAAATTGTTATTGTATAATTGCAAGTGCGGCGATTTAGTTTGTGCGCGTCATCTAATTTGATCGGTCGTTTTTTGTGCGCGTCTGTATAAAATCTATTTCGTTACAAAATTAAGTAAAATTATATTATTGTTATTGTGTTAAACGTGATAAGTTCGTGTCAATAGCCGGTTATAGTAGTGTATTTTGTTTGTGTGCTAGTGTGTTCTTGTTGGTGCGGCGATTTAGTTTCCGAGCGTCATCTTTGATCGGTCGCGTGTGTATTAAATCGGCTTGCAAACAAATTTATGTTAATTGTATTATGATAATTGTTTTAAACGTGTTTAGTTCGTGTCAATTGCCATTTATTAAAGTGTTTTTGTGTGTGTATGTTTAACAAATGCGGTTAAGTGCGTAATTTTTGGCGGCGAGCTTTTTCCTTTTGGCGCATTTTGCAGCTTGAGCACATCCCGCGAGAGAAAAAAAGGGAGAGAGAGAGACAGAGAACAAGTGAGTACTTTAAAGCTTTGCTTAAACAGCGCGTTATTTATTTGCCTTTTTCATACGCTCACTGAGTGTGTTGACATTTTGTCAAGGCAAATATAACACATTTGCACACACATACATATATATACATCTTTATATATATATATATATATTTGATCAGTTTGAGCAGCCGAGTCAATATATTTTGTTTTGTTAAGTCGTCTTTTTTTTTGAGCGATCTTGGGCAAATACCTTATTGTTGTAGGCTAAATCGATGAACTACTTTTAAATTTTTCTTAATTGATTTCTATTGAATTTGTTACTTAGTGGCACAAGGAGTCGGAATAAGATTAAGATTATGATTGTAAAGTCAAGGCAGAAGTTTTTCTACGTTATTGCATTTTTTACCCTACGATAAGTATCATATGGAAACACATACATATAAAGCACAGTCTAAGCTGTAAAAGCTCTGTCGCCCTAATGTTATTAACATAACATATGTTCATCCGCGTTCTTTCCCCTGTTCATAGTCTAAACTCCTCGATTTTTCTATTTCTTTGTAACATAAAGTCATGTCACCTTCTTACTAGATAATGCTACATACTTAATATAATACTAAATAACATATTTTCATACATATATATGTTAATATAGGTATTTTTAAGACAAGTCCGATCTGGGGCACAAGTTATCTGCTCGTATATTATGTATAAAAGGTCGCTTAAGCCCACATTTTCCACGGCTCACTAAAATTGTGTAATACGTATACCGTATTATTATAATAATCATTTGTCTCAATTTTCAAATTGAATAAATATATTTTTCTTTTTATTTTAAT